TAGATTAAACTGAAACTTGCAAGTTCTCGGTTTAAGGGAGTGATTGTTAGAATTTGAGTCTTTTACTTTTAGTAATTTTTCATTATTCCTGCACATTGAGTTGACTGAATGTCAGTCAAAGTAGACAAGATTTTTAGGAGTCTGTTGATCATGACTGAGTCTCAGTCAAAGTAGGCAAGATTTTTAGGAGTCTGCTGATCATGGGATTTCGCAGATAATGATCCCTGATTTTATGATGTTTTAGTTGTGATTTTTTTCTGTCTTTTGCCTATATATATAGGCTTTCACGTTTCAATAAAATCATCAAAGTTCAGAGTAAAAAATTCTCTCCTTTCATATTGCTGATTTCTAACAAGATTGAGCAACTGAAGTCGTTCCGATTTAAGCGACCACAAATAGATTAGGCCGTTGACGATGTTAGAACACAGCTCAAAATCATCGCCGCCGTGTTCGATGTGATTGGTGAACCTGTGTACCGGAAGCTGTGTGGAGAAAAAGGCGTCGGGTCCTTGCCTAAGCGCTCTTTTTAATATATGAATTTGTAACTAAAAAGAGAAAATAATATACTCTGTTTTAAAGGAAATGATATTTATCTCTCCCAATTCATTTCACTTTTGCATCTCACCTTACGTATTAATTATTTTATTGGACAATAAATTTCATGCACTTGGTGCACAACTTCCTACACCACATCTAAATAACTCAATTTAATATTAAGTTTTAATATTTGTAACATTTATAGTACAAAAATGTAATTTGTACTTCTTAGGAGTAGATCCCGATTTAATACTCATCCGGATTTCGGAGTTTTGACTTTAAATTAACAAAATAATTTGTTTTATTTAAGAAAATTGGGTTGAATATAAAAATACAGATTAATGAGTACTCTTTGATGATGGTCAAATACCTCGATGTGTGCTTCCTATCTTTTTCTCGCCACTTAAGCTACATGATAGCTATACAAAACAAATTTTCCCACCTAAACTAAATAGTTCAATACTACGTCGTTTCATGCTAACTAAAAAAATAAAATTAAAAAAATAATTTACATCTTCTTCATGCTTCAAATATGGAGCAATATGCTAATTAATGTCATATATTAATCCAAAATCCTTAAAACCCTCTCAACCAACCTAACTAATTATTCAAAATTAAAAATATGTAGAATTTCCAATCTTTATCAATCAACAAATTAAAAGTAAAAAATATCAGCTTTCATTAATCAGTAAAAGGTCAAAATGTAGATCCAACGGCGACAACACAAGTGAGAAGAGAAGAGAAAGTGCATAGCCAAATTCCAGCCATCGTCAAGCCGATTGATATGGTCCTGGCGATATCCTAGTGTTGTGTAAGAAGTAGACTTATTTGGTTTCTTGATAGTAGTAACATTAATATATGTAATAAGATCTCTCGAGATTAATTTATTTGTATTATTTGACATTACTCTGCTACGTGTTGTAGTCTCTTAATTGAACGGGAATTTAATTCGAGTTCTATAAATTTTAAAAGAATTTATTTTGTAGAGCACGTATATTACGATCATTCTTCCAACATTTGATTCAGTCACTTCTCGAAGCCAAGTTTACTTTCAGCCCAGTGACAAAAGTCGCAAATATTCGAGACTAAACCCTATATTAATCTAGCTAAGTGACAAATATGATATTTTGGGAAAGATGTGTTAGTTAACAAATTACAGGTTGCCAAGTAGAAATCTTCAGATGGTCATAAGCATATATAATTGTTAAAATCCTTTTGAACTTGAAAAACAAATGAAAGACATTTGTCTCACATTGGAGTTGGAAAGCTAACTTGATCAACATATATACCCCTTGTGTTACTCCCCTCATAGCCAACTAGATGATCCGCCCAGGCAATCTCTTTGATTTTATATTTGTATTAAAATGTATTAATATAATTATTCTACAGGAGGCGTAAAGTTAATAAATGACAAAACAAATAATCAGAAAAAAGAATAATACCTTATGGTATAATATATAAGGTACATATAACAATATATACACCTTAAAACAGTAGAGATTATTATTGACGGTTCACGATGGCATTCTGTCTCATAGCAGCTCTTGTTTTTCTTGAGTGAAGTCAAGTAAATGGGTCAGGGGCAGCTCGACTTCTTTAAATGGCAGAGCCATCAGTCTTGTTTTGCAAAAAGAAAAAACATACATAAAATGACATAAATAATCATAATCTAAGGAAAAAGCTAGGCATACATCCATACATTGATAATTTAGACAGCAAAATTTGTAGAGTCCCATTGATAACTTGGGATAGTACTAAATGCTCTAACAGTGATTTGAGCAAATTAAATAGCAATATGCATATATTATCCTTTGATCTTCAAAATATGAAATTACAGAGAGTGAAAGGAAAAGGAAGACAAAGATTCTATACTACAATCACAAAAACAGTAGCATAATGAGGCTTTACATGCTCTAATCAAATTACCTATAGCCATCCGCCCTTATTTATTCAGCCCGTAAGTTTGCCGAAATTGACGTACACTTCTTGGCCGTCTCTTTCACTATATTATTTGAGTAGAAGAATCGTCATGATTGGTTCTTACCTATACTTGTCCTCCAGAATATATAACAGCCCGTATTATAATTGATCATTGACAAAGAGATCAATAAACAAATAAAAAATGAATGAATCATTTTTGTAGTTGAAAATGGACGCATGTGTCTACAAAATCAGCACAATGTTATATGCCCAAAGCTCAGTAGACTGAACTAATATAATAAGATCAATTCAAGGGTTTGTTAATACTTAGCTCGAATTCTTATCCAACATGGAACACTTTTTATGCACTTCAACCCTCAAGCGACAAAAGCAACTATCCTGGATTACTACTCCCATATAAGTATCTACTGCAGAGATGTATTAAAAAAAAAGCAACAAAAACTGTAGAGCTAGTGCCAAAGCTCACCCTCACAACTAAATAACAAAGCTTAATAGGAGCTTTTCAAACAAATAGGCAAATAAAGCTTACGAAGACCGTATGCAGACTTTTACATCACTTACAATGTGGCGCCTTATAAGAAACCAATGAAGCAACGGATATTACTACTGATTTGATTATATGAGATATCTCTGCACTGAGTTACAACAGGCTTACGGAAAAACCAGCTCATCCAAGTCAAATGAATAGCAGAAATATATTCAGATAAACAACCTATTGGATTTTAGAGCTTGAATATTTGTAAATATTTCAGGATTCTATTGTAGTAACACTTTTTGTACGCATCCAGAAAGATTTTGCTAAACTCAAAACAAAATTAAAGAAATAAAAAGTAACTAATTCAATAAAACTGCTAAATGTTTAGGGTTTCGACTCTCAACATAACCCAAGCAAAGGAAGTGTGAATGTTTATTTGCCATCTGGCATAACCAAATTTACATACCAAAAATACAAAACACACATGCCACGATTCATCTCACTTCTTCAAGTTCCAACATTTCGAAATCAAATGAAATACAAATCTAACCCATCCACAAACATGCGAGAAGAATTACCTTGATTTTGTTACAATCGTCAATTAGTCAAAGACTGCATCTTTTCCATGCCTATAATTACTTCCATCTTCAATATGAAGCAGAAATTAAAAAAGGAATCATGCAAAACTCACCTGAAATATATTCGTGGCCTGATTCCTCCTCAACACATCTCCACCAATTGTCAACTGGCTGACGTCTTCACTAAATCACTATCTTTTTCCTCAGTTCTCTCGCTTACTGGTCAAGATGGGGTTGCGAGACTGTCATCAATCTCCATCTTGAGGCGGGCATGTAGAATATCACGTTTTCAGGCAGTAGTTCACGCCTTCTTAAGCTGCGTCATCAATCTTATGACATGTGCTTTCCCGCTGCTTCTAGAATCTCCAAAGCGTGCTGATCAAGTCTTGAGCGTGTGCATCAAGTAAATCTGATCTTATCTGTTAAACAGCTTGCGTCATCCCGCTTCCGAGAAGGCTACTGACGATGCTTGGTTTTGTGCCGCCGGTCTAATAGTGGAACTCCGACTAGGGTTTCCTGCAAAAATAGAGCCTCAGGGGTGTCCCGAGGGTAGACACTCTGATGCTTAAGTCAATAAAGAGTTGCTGGAACGTTTAGGTATGTAGTGTGTTCAGTTATAGAGTGCGTACATGTATTGTGATGTGAGTAACCCTATTTATAGATATGAGAATACCTGAGAAATCCCTGAATCCTCTTAGGTTTCGGGAACTTAAACCGCCTCAAGAGTCCCGGTTGGACTCTCCTTTCGGTTGATGGGCCGGTCCAGTCTCGGTGATGGATGTGGACTTGTCAAGTGCCCTTGTCAAGTGTTAGTTGTATAAGATAAACAACGCTTGGCACAAAGTAAGTGTTACCTGGGACAAACCTGAGAGTGGATAGGCTACTCTCGTTCAGCTAGTTGTCGAGCAATGTGTCAAGTGTCCTCGACTCCAATGCACAACTCTCTATCTTATAATCCCAGGAGGTAACCAGCGGGTTGAGTCTTGACCCAGGAAGGTGACCCGTTTCATAGTCTCGCCCAAAATTTCAATCGTCCGTTATTAGTGGGCACGTTCCCCAAACGGCGGCTTCACCATCATTACCCCCTTGAAACTCGTCCTAACTATCATATCGTGGGCTATAATTAGGGACACGTGGGAGAATAATTTTTATTTTTAAGGAGAAGGTTCTATCATTCCCCTTTCACTTGTCATTTTTCTTTCTTCGCAAAAACTAAAGTTCTCCTCTCTGTCAGAGTGCTCCGACTGTCTTCGTCGGAATATTCAAGCCTCCACCAACATATTGCCCCAGCAACACTATCACCAGGGGATCTGCTATCAGGAACTCGGAAGAACACTGGGAAGCTACAACTCGAAAGGCGAATGGTCATATCCTCCTGCAATAGTAAGTTTTCAGATCTGACTATCCCCGGTTTCATTCGAAATTTTTGTCTTTTCAAACTGTAGCCAGGGTAGATTTGTAACGGAATCATGGTTAGAGATTCGGAAGGAAAAACTGTTGATGACTTTCAATCCACCATAGATTTTGTTGATAAGGTAGAGAACATTAGAACAAGATATGACCTTCCCTCAGATCTAGAGGCGAGAGCCCCGTTAGGAAACAAGAGGGCCAACTCTCCTCTTGAGGAAAGAATTACTGTGTATGACCGATTTATGCATCTAGGGCTTAGATTCTCCCTATTCCCCCTGTTCGAGGAGATTGTGCAGCACTATAAGACTCCTCTTGCTCGTTTTACCCCAAATTTAATAACTTTTGTTTTGGGATTTGCAAAAGTATGCCAACATGTAAAAGTGAAACCTCGGTTAATACTGTGGAGGTATTTCTTCCAAGTAGTTGTTGCCTCGACCTCTTTCCAAGATTGGTATATTGTGAAGAGATGCCTTAGATCCGGCGTTAAAAAGATGGTCGAGTCGTATGGCGGCTCTCCTGAATGGAAGCCGGACTTCTTGTTTGCAAGGGCGTCCAAGGACTACTGCCTGTCGTGGAACCATCGAGAAATGGAGGGTCTTGGAGCAATAAAGGATGAGTGGACCCAAGAAGACGATAAGTGCATCGAGGAACTTGATGCAGACGTGGAGAAAATTCTGAAATACTCTAAGGTCATTAAATGGAACGACGTACAATATTACATACCCCCTGTGTCTACCGAGGAGAATGACAATGCAGATGCTAATGTCGAGGCTTCAACCAGAATCCCTTTCAAAACCCCTGTTGGAGAAAACCAAGGTACTAATCATTTGTTTTTTTCTTGTCTGTTCTTAGGTCATGTCGTCAAACAATGCTGGTTCTCGATTGTTTGGTGACGAAGATCCTTTTACTATTGTGAATTTAGATAAGGATGTTACCATCATTGCAGCTCCTCAAAAGAAAAAGAAGAAGAGGATCGTGAAGGCCGGTGATAGGGCGAAATATAAGAAGGCCAGAACGGATACGCCCTCGAAAGAAACCGCAGCACCAGATGACGAGACAGTGCCCCCTGCTACTGAGACCGTTCAAAATCCTCGTCCGGAAGCTGGGCCAAGTGTTGTTCCTCTTGCATTAGAGAAAGGCAAGGGCCTCTTCAAAGGAGAGGCAATTACCCTGCCTCCTCAACTGTTCGAGGGAGGTCCGTCCGTGGCCGTGCACACCTTCAGCAACCCACCGACCATCGAGTGTCCTGTACTCGAAGAATTCGCTGCTCAGCTGAATGAGGCTGACACTCTGAGACTGGTAAGGAATTTTCCGCTGTTATGAATGCTTACCACAAACCAGTACCACCTGTGTTCCTTAATGTGTTACGTTGGTGTAGATAAGCGCGGTCTCCATGGCCTATCTGGTGCAGCTGAGGAAATTGCGAGAAGACCTGGTCACAGCTCGGTCTGAAAGGGATGAAGCTTTATTCAAGGTGGTGACTCTCGAGGAAAAGGCCCGCCAGGTCCAAGCTAAGGAAGCCGAGATCCCCTTGGTACAAGCCAAGTATGACGAGTTGGACGAGAAGATGAAGTGCTTTGCCAGCTTGCACATCTCGAAAGAGGAACTACACCAGTGGTGTGTTGCATTCATGTATAAGATGCTGTCTACATGGAGGGATGGCCGCAGCCCTCGAGGAGATGAATTTGGTTGCCACCAAGTGCGGGGCGCACCGGGTTGGCATGGCAGGTTTGAGGAGGCTCGATCAGGACAGGCCAATCAAAGCCAAATGGTTTAAGCAGATCCTGATAAAGGACCCAAAGAAGACCATGCACGAGGCAATGGTGAAGGTCCTAACAAGGTTGAACCTCGAGCAACTGCCCCTGTGGGAAGCCCTAACTGGTGCCTTGCCGAAAATGAGTTCTCCTGCAGACATTGCTCCATTCCCAGGTGACGTACCCGCTATCCTGGCCAGGGGCCCGAGTGAAGAAGATCCCATACATGATGTACCGGATGAGTACATGAGTATTGAGCTCGAGTATGCTGACGAAGCCACTGAGGAGGATGTTGCTGATACTGGCCCCTCTGGAGTGTAGAGAAATGTCGAGGAAGCTTCTCAGAACCCTTCCAAGGACCACCCTCCTGGCAGTGATGCTGTATGAATCCTACCTCTTACAATAACTGTAGACCTGTTGAATTGCCGTTTTTGTAGTGAGTTGAATACTCCATTTTTTGTGTTTATAGAAGCATCGTTATTCTTGCCTTACTTTAACTTGATGCAAATATCTTACAATCCTATTTTGAAGCAGGATAGTTGGCTCGTCCACCATGTTCACCTTATGGTTCTATCGGAGGAGCAATCGAGTGAGTACCCCCTATATTCCATGATTAGCAGAATTCTAAGAGGTCGTGCCGACGTGCACAGTATCGAGACAGTGGCAAACCTAGAGAATGACCTTCTCGACGCTATGAGGACGCACAATGTGAAAGTTAATCAGGATCTGATAAATGAGATTAAGGAACTTCGTGAGGAGATGCAGCATCAGGAGGCTCAAAGTCTGAAAGACTATGGTGATTCACTGACTTTCAAGGCCGAAATCCATGATGAACCGGTTATCTTGGAGAAGGAGAACACTCGGTTGAGGGAAAGACAACAGATTACCGTGTCCCCCTGGTTCCCTGAGAAGCATCAAGTGCTATCCCAAGTTTAGCACATGATTATGACTAGAAGTCGCCGCTTCATTGCAGCCATGGATATATTGAAAGGGAAAGCTCATGAGATCGGGCTTCTTACGGATTACATTGCCAAATTTCAAAATCTGTTACTAGACAACAACATCGACTTCGAAGTTTTTGAGCACCTGGAGGAAACAGTTGATCCTCGAACTCAGAGTTCTCGAGAAGAGTTGTTTATGAGGGTGCATGCCCAGGACCTAGAGATCGTGGATCTTAAGGACAAGCTTAATCAATGTGTGAATCTCCTTAGCCTGCATGGGTATAAGGGGATTATTCATCCTTCTCTCAACAATCCTGCCAGGGAAGTCCTTGTAATAGTGTAGGAAAATATGTATATTTTTTGTAACCTCGCATAGTAGTGTGGAGAGAATTAGTGAATTATTTTTGAAGAAACTCGAGTATCAATTTATATAGTGCTTTTTAGGCCGGATGTAAAGTACATGGCTCTATCGAGGGAATTAGGTACGAATTCCTCGATTTGATACTGCGTTTTGCAGCGTGTGTGAGGAGAATTCCTCGGTTTTGTGTCCGGATGTTGAATACACGGTCTTTAACGAGGATGGCCCTGAAGAGGGAGTCCATCTCGGTGACTAGTCATGTACATAATGTCGACAATGAAAAGAATGTGTAATGTCTTTTATTTAATAATTACCCAAGGACCCGGGTTAGTATTACATATGAGAGAATAAAACTGACGAAGTAAGTAAAGCAAGTAAAACACACAATAGGCAAATAGCAGGCAAAGATTCAACTATAGAACCTGTGATGGTTCTGAATGTTCAGCTTGATGTCATCATCATTGGTGCTCTCGACAAAGTTTATTGTTCGAGGACTCGACAAACCTATTTCAACCGGGAGGACAACATCCTTGCCATAGCTAAGCTATACGGTGTTTCGTCTGTCGAGGAATGAGCAGTAGTACGGTATGCTCCTTTTGCCTCATACAACCTGGTCTTGATCCCATGTAAGATGGTTCTGTTGATGGATTCAGCTTGACCATTAGCTTGAGGATGAGCCACGCTTGAAAAGCGACGCTCGATTTGCATTTCCTCGCACCATGGCTTGAAGGGATTGCTCTCGAATTGGGTCCCATTGTCAGAGATGATAACCTTTGGGATTCCAAAACGGCATATCATGTGCTGCCAGAAAAAATCCAAGACTTTCCTTCCTGTTATCGAGGCTAGCGGTTTAGCTTCTACCCATTTAGTGAAGTAATCTACTGCTACGATTACCCATCTTACCCTACTACCCCTTCCGGATGAAAAGGGCCAATGATGTCAGTGCCCCATTGGTAGAATGGCCAAGGGCTCTGAATGCTAACCATCTCGTGCTGAGGCTGTCGAGTGATGGGGGAGAAGCGTTGACACTTATCGCATTTCTGTACCCACCGGTTTGCGTCTTTGAAGATTGTTGGCTAGAAATACCCTGCCTGCAAGACCTTCTTCGTCAGTGCTCTTGCCCCCATATGGGCTCCACAGGATCCCTCGTGTATTTCTTCGAGTATGTAAGCTGCTTGATTTGGACCAATGCATCTTAGCATGGGTAGCAGGTACCCATGCTTGTATAGGATGCCGTCTTGTAATGTGTATTTGACTGCCTTCAACTGAAGGGCTCTGGCCTCTGCTTTTCCGCTGGGTAATGTTCAATCTGTAAGGTATTGGATGAACGGGGTCATCCAAGTGTTTTCATCCTCGGTGATAGTCATTACGGGGGCTTCCTGGATGCTAGGACTGGGGAGAATCTCGACCCATAGTTTGTGACTGAGGTGGGCAAAGTTCGAGGAGGCCAACTTACTGAGGGCGTCTGTCCTTTTATTTTTCGACCGGACTATGTGAGATACAGTGCATTCTTTGAATTTGTCTTTGATTTCGAGGACTTTCTCGAGGTAGCACTTGAGCTGCTCATTGTTTGTAGTATACTCGCCCAATATCTGCTTCACCACCACTTGAGAATCACTAAAAAGTTGGATTTTGCGGACCCTGAGCTTTAGTGCAATGTTCAGTCCTACTACCAGTGCTTCGTACTCTGCCACGTTGTTGGTGACTGAGAACTCGAACCTTAGTGCATATGTATATTCCGCATCATACTCTCTCATGCTTTCGATGTCAGGATCAGCTGAAGGTTTGGATAATATGATACTGGTGCGTGCCGAGTTCACCAAAAATATTACTAGCTTGGATTGTGATTTTTGTAGATAATGGAAGTTAGGTCGATCCCACGAGGACAGCTAATTACCAAATTTGTTGTTAAATACTACCAGTCAGACAAGGAGTCACTGAGGGGAATGAAAACAGTCACTCAGGGGAATGAAAGCCAGGGTATTCACCTCCTCTTCCTACTATAGTAGTCGTTAATTAGCACTGTAACGTTTAAGTCCTTGTTCATTCAGCTCACTTATAACTCTAAGTCAGTTCCCATTTTTCCTAGAGTCATCTTTGTAACCTTAACAATCTATTTTCCAATGAGTGATTCTAGTTAAAAAGTCATTACGTTCTCAGGCCTTCATGAATGCTTATGTTAACTAAGTATATTCCTATCTTAGTTAAAACCATAGGTTGTTACCTCTATGTCATAAGTTAAAGTTGAAACAATCCAAACCAAGTTTATCTTTCCAGATATCCCTTAGTTCTAGCATGCATTCAATTTAGTGATCAAGTAAACGAATGTAGAAAAACTTTCAACTTCAAAACAAGGAACAGAACCAGTGCATTACAACAACTACAACATAGGTTGAGGAGAATAACCCCTGGAAGCTGCTTAGCTACTCATGCAGATTAATGCTACATCTACTACATCAACAGACATCATAGAAGTATGCATAATAAAACGAAGTTCAAGCTAACAGTGAAGAGACGAGAAAAAAGCTTGTGTAGTTCTGAGCCACTCCTAGGAGTGAAGGAGTTCACTCCTGGAAATGAAGCAGAAACTGGGATGGCTGTTCTTCAACTTGGCTTCCTTACTGAGTTGTTGCTGTTCCTTCTTCCTTCTCGCCTTCTTCTGGAGTTTTTCTGTGAGTTTTTGGCAACTGAAAGGGTAGCCTGAAAAGAGATAGTTCTTCTGAGAGTGGAGTTCCCCTTTTATAGAGCCTTGCAGCCGGTTATTTAATCATGAGAGCCTCCCATGCTTGTGAATAGTTTAATCGTCCCTATGTCTTGTGCCTGGATTCCAAAATTGACTAGTATTCTTCTCTTCTTCCAGTAGTGGCAGCATCAACCTCATTGATCGGCATGGGTGGCTGGAATTTTGGCTGAGAGACAAGCATGCCCCTTGGAATTCAAATAAGAGACATACTCATTAATGGCAAGATGCTTTGTGTCTTGGGGGGGGGAGGGGAGGGGGTACTTTTTCGACCAACTCAGCCAGAATTGTATCAGCAGCCCACCATTTGTTCCTTTGGCCCCAAATTTTCAGCAATTGTTCGATCAAGCCCTTACCTAATAAAAACACAAAGACGAGTTAAGTAAAATGCACTAATACTAGGAAATACTCCCAATTTCTTACTAAATTCTGAGTTAATTGTGATGTTTTAATGTAACAAATAAACCATTATCAACTCCCCCAAACTGGAAGAATTGCTTGTCCTCAAGTAAAACAACTAAACTCTTGCTGGCACTTACAGAATTATACATAAGAAACAGGGGAAACAACATTATCAGAATGACTGAAGACTGACTTACTCCCCTGAGTGAGGATTCCCACTCAGGTATGTGACACTGAACATAGAAACAACCATAACACAAACTGGATAGGAGCTATCAACCTATTGTCTCAGATTCAAGTACTGCGATCCAGAGTCAAACAACCAACCTTCACATGGAATTAGAATACATGCCACAAGTGTAAGTTATGCCCAACCTATCAATCCGTTCTAAGTTAACCGGTTTCAGCGTGTGGTGGTCATATTGTGATCTGGTTTTGCCCAAGCTACCTTGACTCGATTTACCTACTGAGGCTTCAGTCATGGACTTCCTTCACAGCCTTTCTGTCTTTTTCCTTTTTTTTTTCCCTCAAAACAGGTGTAGATGGACCAACCTTACAGGGGTGTTATTCAACCTTATCTCTCCACTGCCTTATACCTCACCCCTTATTATTCCAACAGTTTGGAACTTTTTGTGGTGGTTCCTTATTGTTACCCCTAAGGTTTCAGTTGATCCATTCCCTAAAAATTTTTTCTTCTTTTTTTTTTGTTGAATGCAAACAGGCTGTGAATGGATACCACAAGGGAAGTCTCAGATTTACAGCATCTCTCATCTACTTGTAGCTCAGAACTAGACAAAGATCACAACAGTGGATTAGTCATGCCAAATTTTAAAATTTATGTTCTAGGCAGTTACTTCCACGAGTGGCATTGTTCATGTGTGTGAGTGAGTGTCAGCCATTCTTTCCTTCATGCATCAGGCTAGGCATCAAAAGTGTTTTAACAAAACTTTTTAACATCCTAGACTGTTGACAGCTCCTTAGAAAATTTTCATTTCATTTTATTTTTGAGAGAGAGATTTTACAGACTCGATCTAGACATGAACCTAAGGGACCTAAATGACATTTGACCTGACCACAAACTACTCTACTACTCCCCCAAACTTATTCTAAGCATTGTCCTCAATTCTTAACAAAACAAACCCGGCAACACACATCAAACAGAAAACAAAGAAAAACACAGAAATAACAAAAAATTCACCATTTTAACAAAAAAAGTAAATTGCTGATTAGGGGCATTAGAACAACACTTCCCTGAGTGTTCACTGAGGGATGCCATGGAGTGGATGGGCTGGGGGCAATTTTCAGGGCATCCAATGCACCTGTGCATTTCCTATAGGAATTTCTCAGTCCTCATCTGGCATTGGTGGACATAATCAAGGATGAACCTGGTCTACTTGTTGAAATCCCTCTGCCTCAACTGTCCAGCCGCAATAGGAGTGGATGCTGTTTGTCTTGAGGATGAGGCACCTGGGGGTTTCTGGTCCAACTTATGCATCCTCAAGGGTTGCTGCAAGCTGCTCTCTGCGTCTGTGTGTAGGAAAGTCACCCCTGCTCTTCTGCAAAGCATTGTAATCATCAAATGGAAGTACCAGCTCTTCACCTTGGGATCCGTGATACATCGGGTGAGTTGATCCCTGATTACTGATGCCGCATCCAGTGGCGTGTTTGTGACGATTGCATACAGTATCATGGCTTCTTCATAGGTGACCTTGGCTGTGTAAGTTGTGGGCTTTAGGTTGCAGCAGATGAAATGGTGCCATAAATTTAGATGAGGTGTTTGCAGGGCATTAGCATAGAATCCCTGGGGGTTGTCCTGATCGTCCTTCTCCCAATCTGTGCCTTT